TTGCCATAGATATATTTAATCAATCTTATTTCTGCTATTTTACTGGTTCTTAGTCTTTGTAAATCACACATTTTACCTGCTCTTTAAAGTTTTTAAACTTGTGACTTCAAATTTGCTACTGATAAAATCTGTTTTATAAATTTTTAAAGTTTGAAACTAAAACAAAATGACTTACAAATTCTATAAATTTGGTCATCCAAATGGGTTTTCAGAAAGAAGACAACTAAATGAGTGATACTGGTGTTACTCAGTGACCATGACTTTTTATGCCAAGAAGTGACATGCACTGCTGTACAGTTTTTAATCACAGATAAAATGAACATTAATTAATAGTAACTAGGAGTGACTTGTCTGTAGCATCAAGATTATGAGAAGTGGTAGTATGGCTTTATACCACACTAGTGAGGCTACACTTAGAATACTATGTGTAGTTGTGATTACCACTATACAAAAAAAGATGTTGAGACCCTGGAAAGAGTGCAGAGAACAGCAACAAAGATAATAAAGGGTCTGGAGGCTATATCATACGAGCTAGGAATGTCCAGCCTATCAAAGAGAAAGTGTGAAGAGTCTGCCAGATAACGATTCTGATGAGGAAGATGAGCCAGGTTGGGGGTCATCAAAAAGGAGCAATGTGGCGTATCAGGTGGTTTTGGAGCTCAGTGGCTGAAAGGAAGGCATTCCTGGAAACATTGGGAAGTGGGCAAGTGACTGTCTGGACAGTCAGATGTCCACGCAAGCAGGAGATGGAGATGCATGACTGCCACCAGTCAGCTTGGAACAGTGATCTGTGACAAGGCCAGCTGATAAGACACAATTCTGATGAAAAAAGAGTTTCCACCCCTGCCCAATCCACAGATGAGAAGAGCTGAACACCGAGAGGCACAGCAGACTCAGCAGAGCTTGGAGAGGCTACCCAAGAGGAGGCAACCTTACCCCTCCTAAGAAGCACCAGTTAGGTTGATTTAAGCAGGCAGAGGGAGTTGGGTGGTTGTCAGAGACAATTGTTTTGTTTTTTCAGTGTGACATCTTCAGCTTCTTGCCTTGCTCCTTTGCTTCATCCCAGTGCTTTGTTCCTGTGCCACGATTCATGCATGTTCCTGGGACTCATGTTTGGACTTTGACTTTCTTGGGGAGACCTGCTCTTTGCTTCATTGTCCTTCAGAACCACTGAAGCCAAACTGTTGGCATCCTTTTTGCTTTGCTTGCTGTCAATTTTCCTTCCTTTGCTTCAAGCTTGCGTGACCAGCCAGCCACCTCACTGTTCCCTCCATTAGCCACACTCTATTGATAAACTGTTGCCTTTGTTAGAAGATGTCTCGTCACTGAGGTCGCTACAAATTGTGGGAAATTGACATGGCGTTTTGGGGAATGCTATACAGCAATTACTTGTGAAATAAACATAATAAATCCCTCTCAAGTGCTACTTGTGTGAACTGGATATTTCTTGATGGTACTTGACGGGCTGTCATAGAGAAGAGACAATTGACTTACTCTCTGTAGCACCAGAGGACAGGAGAAGAAGTATGGGTGAAAGCCAGTGGTGGGTTGCTCTCAGTTCGGTCTGGTTCTATAGAACCAGTAGTAAAACCAGGGGAGCTTCCGCCCACCCACCACAATATCATCATGGGTGATCCGCGCATGCACAGAAGCCTGCAAGTAAAGTGAACGTGTGTGTGCGCTCCCGCTCCGAACTGGTAGTAAAGGTAAGTGGAACCCACCCCTGGTGGAAGCTTATTAAAGACAGACCCAACCTAGAAGTAAGGAGAAATTTTCTGAAGCAAGAACAGTTAAGCAATGGAATACCTTGCCTCCCAGTGTTGTGGGTGCTCCATCACTGGAGCTTTTCAAAAATAGACTGGACAATTATTTGACACGGATAGTATGAAGCTCTTGCCATGAGCAGAGCATTGGACTAGAAGACCTATGAGGTCTCTTCCAGCCCTATGATTCTATGTTCTATCAATGTATAATGATCCTCTGTTTTAACCCAATATCCAGCGTTGTTATTATTTCATAAGTACCTTTTTTTCTGCTTAAACAAAAGGCAAATGAAATTGTAATTGTCTCTAAGTACAGATAAATCATTGCAGCTTTTTGATCAGCAGAACTAGTAACAACTTAAGCAAATAAACTCTAGTAACTGTTTCCAGAGTCAGAAAGACAAATAAAGAGATACATCTCTTTTCACTGTAAAAACATTTTCTAGCAGGAAGGAAGTCATTCAATTCATGCCTTAAGCTTAGCAGATTTAATTAATATTCTATGTCTGAATATATGACAGAATTAAAGCTGAGATGGAATCAAATTTGAAGAAAAAAAGAGTAATTAAGCTCTCCTTTTACCTTTAGCTTATACATACATGCAAATTATGTTTGCTGATTTGATTTAATAAGCAAATTATGGTCAATTAAAATAATAAAGCTTTCTACAACAAAGAGCAAGAGAGAACGAAGTACTTTTATTGTCCAAATGATTCTATCTAGATGTTAAGTCAAGCCTTGCTACCTATAGATGCCACACTAGTTATTCTTTTAATATTTTTTAAATTAATGTTTTATTTAAAAATGTTTAGAAAGCTATCTTGCATGGGGAAAGGATTGAACATTTCAACTACTCATTCAATGTCCTTATTTCATTCCTTGCATATCTCAGGGTGTTTGTGTGAGTAAAAGAAAGTTGAGGTTTCCCTTTTTTTCTATTGGTTTGAATAACAGAACCATGATTATGGTAAATAAACTTTTACAAATCATAATTTTAAACTGAATTAAGAAAGGGCTCAGCCTGAATTACTGCTTTATTTGTTGTCTGTGTGTTATGCTAAACCTAATCAAACACAGTATAGTATGCAAACCAGTGTCTCAGGCCAGCAGTTGAAAAATAGGTTAAAGTGAGATGCAATTGTCGTCACCTTGTAGGAAGATAAAATATATAGTATATATATTTTAGTATATATACAATATCTCTCTCTATTTTTCTCTCTCTATCTAATATAGTAATATATAGTACATTACTCCTGACATATGGTTTAATTCTTAAGATATTTTATAATTGATGAATAACTGGAGTTTAAATTATGACAGGTGAAGTATAGCACACCAGAAGCCATGAGCCTGAGAAACTCTCCCTAAATATATTTATTAAATGTATGGTTCCAAAAAGAGCTGATGACAGCCATTCATTCATTCATTTAGACAGGCTTATATCCTGCTCTAATAGTCAACGGAATTGAGTATTCACTTAGATATACAAGATTATGTAGTAAACCTTTCGTTGGAAGAAACATCCAGTTCCAGTTCCAAGTCGGGAGAAAGGCAATGGAAATAAAATGGAGGCTAGAGGCAGATTGGAAAGAAAGGTTCCCTTTATTGATGAAGAGAACCACCAACCACATGTGATTCTGGGACAGCTGACAAAATGGAGTTTAGAGTGAGTGGGTTTTATACCTTCTGGATTCCTATGAGGTCATGTAGGGGTCATGGCTGGCTCTATAGAAGGGGTGTCAAACTGGCAGCCCACGGGCCAGATGCATCATGCACAGGCCACACCCACCCCAGCTCCACAAAGTGAAAAAATGTCATGTGATGGCAACATGACGCAGCAAGTTTGACACCCATGCTTTATAAGCAAAAGGGGAAATGCGAATCCTAAGTGTTTGTCTGAGCTAATTTTGTCAACTTTGGCTTGATTGTGTTCCTTAGTGTGTTGCTTATCTGAAATTTCTGCCTGACCCAGTCTTTCTGAATCTGCATTTCTATAAACTGGCCTTCTCAGTTTCTGCTTGGGGCAGAGAAACTGGGGCTGGTTTCTGCCTCCCTTAAGGGTTTTTTCCATTTCTCCTTTAGGGGAACTATTCTATCCTTCCCTTTTAATATTCCCCAAAATATTTCATTCTTCAGGGGAGGGGCTTCCCACACTTTCCTTATGACATACTGTAATAAAAAGATTACTTTTAGTTTGGTGGAATTTCTGCAAGATGATACCTTTCAAGCATCATATGGAAAAAAATTATTCTATAGAGTAGCATTGTCAGCACATGCCTAATCAAAGAGGAAAAAAGTTAATATCCTTCATACTGACAAATATTTGGGGGAAAAAGCAAGTGACACACAAGATTAATATCGGTGAATACAATTATTATCCTTAAGTATTGCTAAAGGAACATTTAGCATGTAACAAAGGAATATTTGCAAAATACAACATTTGCATCTATACAGGCAATTAAAAAGACATGCAGTTGCTAGTTAACTCGATGTGAAACTTGCACAGCACCACCAGAGTGTACTTCTTGCATTTCATGGCCCAGGGTGTTAACGTTCAGTTATTTTGTTCTACCCTTTTATATAATGCCAGATGGGGGATAATATCCACGCATCAAAAACACAAGGTCTAACTCAGGCCAACTGTTGACAGAATAAAGAACCTGTTAAAAATTCTGCGTTCACTGCAGCCACTGACACGGAGTCCCTTATTAAAAAAAACTGAATCGCCTAAGGTCCTAAGCTAAGGAAACGAACAGGGCGAGACTAACGGCAGCCACATATACCTATAATGTAATAAAACCGTGCGCTTGTGTTCCTCGGGGATGTGCGTTTCTTTCTGAATAAAAGCAAATGCACAAACATCCGAACTGGGATCCGGAAGGAACAGAACGGGATTCGTGCCCATAAAAAAAAAACACGGCAGTAACCGCACTGTAGTTGCCATTTATCCACCAAGGGACAGGCGCTATTAGCCTGCCCACCTCGCCGTTTAAGGGGCGCACCATTTTGCCCTGCCAAACGCTTTAAAAGCCCTCCGCGGAGCTTCCTCCAACGCTCCCCCCCGCAGAAGCCACCTTCCTCCCGAAGGAAAGGCCCGCGATTCTTGCTCCAGGCAAAGGAAACCCTGAAACAGCTCGATCCACCATCGACCACCCCGTCGATGTTGCTTTTTCCTCTCACCTGATCCGATGAAGCCCCGCTACCCCTCCAACTGCGCTCGCCTTTGTTGATTCGGATCGCCACCGGCAGATTGTTGCGCCGCCTAGCGTAGCATTTCGCGCCCACTTCCGGTAGAGGCGCCGCCCTTCGGAGCAATGTGGCCGTGAAAAAATCGTTGCGCGGGGTTGAAAGCCGTCGCTAGAGGCTGCTGGCCAGTCGGGGCTCGTCCAGATGGGTCCTGGAGCATCCGGGGGGGCTGCAGTGATGTTTTTGCGTTGCAGAGCGCTTCGCGTAGGCCCTCGCTCTCTGCCATCTCTACGTACGTAGTGTAAATCGTTTTGCACTTCGCCAAAACCGGAATTCAATCCTGGCTTATTTTAAAATGATTTTCAATTAAGGAGAATTGAAAGGTGGGATTAAATCCGTTACAGAGAAAGTTGGGGGAAAAAAAAATAGCTGAAAAGCCCACATGAGCCGTGGAGTGGAAAATAAGCTCCTCTGCAATGCCAGTCTAAAAACCAAGCGACTTTGTATGACCTGCAAGTGGAGTAGAGGCGTTCTGTAAATGAGTCGTGAAGGTCTTGTCAACTTGAGAGTAAATTATATTTAGTGCGCTTTACAGAGACGTGTGTGTATAGAATTGTGGTTCAAAAGATTGAATTAAGCTTAGAAAATAGTTGAGCCTAAGAATTAGCTATTGCTCTTCCTTTGAGAATATTATTACCTGGAGAGGGTTAGAAAGGGAGGAAGAAGAGAGGAGTGGGGAAGGGGAAGGGAAGTAGAAGGGGAGGAATGAAGAAAGTAGAAAGGGACAGAAGAAGGAAGGGAGAAGGGAAGAAGAAGAGGAAAGGTTATGGTAAAACAAAGAAGAGGAAATGGTAAAAGAGCCGCCCGGAACAGATAAAAATGAAAGTTAAAGGATAAGATGAATGATTAATGATTAATTATGGATAAGAGATTGTACACTTAAATATGTTTATGAGAAACAAATTATATATATATATATATATACACACACACATATATATATATACATATACATATATATATATATATACATATACATATACATTACATATACATATACATATACATATACATATACATATACACATATACATTACATATACATATACATATACATATACATATACATATACATATATATATATATATATATATATATATATATATATATATATATATAAAAGAGAGAATAATATTACCTTCAACCCAGAATCCCATTAAACTGTGCTTTATTCATGTTGGTTTTCTTCAGGAAAAGCAACCACTGTCTTATAGACTGTTCTTGTAAATATGAGTTGGTAAAAATGCAAATCAAGGCAATCAGTACAGTACTTTTGCAAGAAATAACCTATCTTTTACCAGAAATGAATCTAGAACATCTGCTGTTAAAATCTCTAATTCTGGTGCTTCTAGAGGGATAGACTTTGATATTACTGATAAATGGGCTTTAGTCTCACTAGAAATTTATCCAATTATTGCTGTACTGAGGCAATTGTAATGAAGAGAGGCATTATTGCTCCATAACAATAGTGAGATGTCACTGTAAAACACTAATGGGAAAATTATTGTTTAGCTAATCTATTATTGCTAAAAAGATTTTTAGTGGAAAGGAAAAAAATATAAGAAATAAATTAGAAATGGAAAACCTGTAAATGGAAGATGACCTTTTGCATTCTTCCCTTTGTGAGCCAAAGCAATTATAAAATAAAGTAACCCATAAAAGCACTCAACTTTCCTCAAACTTTTAAAATCCCACTATTGTAAGTTATTTTTCCAGATTTAATAATTATTATCACTGAAGTGATTTGGTTGCACTTTTCAGCTAGTTGTGCAGTCTCTTAAGGCTGGCTCTAGATTTTTTCCCCAATGCCTTTGTTCACTGTCCTGGAAGGTATAATTTTCTTAGCAATTATAAACAAGTCTAAATTGTGCACATTCATTCTTCAAATATCCATATCTTTCCTAGATAGATGTATTTAGATACATATTTTAGATACATATAGATTTATATCCCATAATTCAGAAGTACTCATGAAATGCTCTATGTAAAATATCCCAAAGGTGCTTTTTAAAGAGGCAACTGGGCTTTGTTTTCCTTTGAAGATGTTTTGCTTCTCATCCAAGAAACTTCTTCAACTCTGACTGGATGTTGGGGAATGGAAGGATTTATATTCCTTGCAGACAGCTGGTCATTTGCATTCTTTTAGAGAGTCATTGAGGCCACTTGGAGGTTTGTCTGTCACCTGAGTAGTGCAATGGGGTGGAGCCTTCTTGGAATTGCTGAAAGGACTATGTTGTGGAGTTGTGTTTTCTGTAGAATGTTTTCTGCCCTGTGTCTCTTCACTGTTGAACACAGGTGCAGGCTGTTGGGGTTGAGTCTGTGTTGTCTCAATCTCAAACTGAAGCACAAATGGTTCCTGAGTCTGCAATTTTTCTGGAATTCATTCATAGTCCCACACTATACACGGGTGTTCATTCCAAAGTGCATAGCTAAATGTTTGTGGAGATTCTTAGTCATTCAGTTCGTGATTGTCCCAAAGATGTTTTATCAAGAGGCAATTGGACTTTCTTGTTTTTCTTTGAAAACATTTTGCTTCTCATCCAAGAATGCAAATGACCAGCTTTCTGCAAGGAATATAAATCCTTTCATTCCCCACCATCCAGTCAGAACTGAAGAAGCTTCTTCGATGAGAAGCCAAACGTATTCAAAGAAAAACAAGGAAGTCTAGTTGCCTCTTGAAAAAGCACCTTTGGGACAACCATGACCTGGATGACTGAGAATCTCCACAGATATCTACTGTACATAAAATACATTAAAAATAATAGATAAATGTAGGCAAGAGTTTACATTTTTATTAATTGTTAAAGTACATTTTTGTCTTTCAACAAAGCTGGCAAATACAATAGTTCAGTTAACAAAAGAGTGGTATAAAAATTTCTAGTGCAATTATATTTTAAACATGAGGCAGATAAAAATAATTGTCTCAATACAATTTTAACAATACAATTTTAAGTCTACTTCAGTGTAACACTATTTTCAAGTGTAAGCATATTATACAGATTTAAAAAATGTATTTTGATTTTAAAAAGGAACACCAATGTAAAAAACTATAATAGCTTCTGTCACTACAGCCAAAATAGTATTGGAAAACAACAGAGTTCTACAACTCATCACTCTGGGTCTATTTAAAGAGGTTCCTGAAGCATAGCAGATAAAAGTATCCAGAAGTCTTTGCATCATTCATGCAAGATGAGTGTAAGTATGGTTTGCACATACATTTAATGTTATGCAAATTGTGTATGTGTTAGAGCAGACTAGCAACTAAAATATATTTGATAATATAATTTGATATATTTGATAATTAGATTTGTTATGACTATAGAAATATTGGGTGTTTCTATTAGTATTGATATTCTATATTGGATACTTTTAAGCATTATATTTAAACTTAAAATAGGTTATTTTGTTACATAATTTTAGTGTTTCTTGGATTGTTTAGTATGTATATTGTTTATATGTTGTTTTTGTTTTAATTTAGAGTAAAAGGTTATTTTATTATACTCTCTGAGCTTGATTGTTTGCTGGTAGGCATTTCATTACCCAACAAGGTATCATCTTCAGTGTGATAACACTAGTAATATATGATGTTACATCTGAAACCTAATGCATTTAGGTCTGGCCAACTGAAAGTATCTCTTTCTTTGAGTTTCTTGAAGTAGAAAGGGCAGAAATAAACAGTAGGCTCTAGCCAAAGATACTGTATGTATTTCTTAGTCATGCTGATTTCAGTGGAAGATGAGTGGCAATTTCTTGCTTAACTCCTCCCCTTGGGTCAATATGATTGAAGTATTACTTTTCAGATGTTTCATAATCAGATTCCTAGAGGTTATAGTTCTAATACAATGTTACTGCTTTATGACAATATATGAAAAACAATATTGTGTTTTTAATAAAGATACATGTTTTTTATAAAACTGTTAGAGAAACTTGAAAACTTTTAAGAAGTAAAATATGTTTTAACATAATTTCTTTATTCATAGTGGCTACAAATGATTGAAGATGTGAGCTTCAGGAAACTAATAGATAATTTGGAGTGCCCAGAAAAATTTAAATACGACTTTAACAAAAATGGTGATCTTAAGCATGTAGACACTAATGAACCTTTTGTTTATAATTATCAGAATTCATATAAAGATAATCACAAACGTTACCAAATTATTGGACAGTTAATAACTCAGTATGTTTATGAGCTCCTTGAAAAAGTTTGCAGTCTGCAGAAGATTTACATCCCAACATGCACGGCAGACAGTAAAATTCATAGTTTCTTTTTCATGAGTGAGAATGCATTGACAAATAGTTCAACTTTACTTGTTCTTCTTCAAGATCAGGGGACATTTCGTGCAGGCCAGTGGACACAAAGTTCAATAATACATGATGGCCTTCAACATGGATCTCAGATACCTTTCATTACAATGGCTCTACAGTGCTCTTGGGGAGTGATTGTTTTAAATCCTAATGACAATTTTGTAGATCTGAAAATAGAACCAGAATGTTTAAGCCTTTTAGAAAATGATGCTATTTGTCCTCTAAATTTATCATGGGCAGTCCCAAAGAGAAACAGCAGTAACCCCGAAGAACATACAATCTATGTTTGGGATCACTTCATTTCAAAGACTTCATCTAAAAATGTGGCCTTCGTTGCCCATGGCTATGGGGGATTGATTTTTATCAACTTACTCATGCAAAGAACTTTGGAAGTGATGAACAAAGTGTATGCTGTTGCACTTATTGACTCTAAACATCACATGAAACATCAGACACAAGGCAATTCTGACGTACAAACATGGATATGGAAGCACTGTCAAGAGTGGGTATCAAATAGTAATCCTATAGATAGGTCAGTAGGCTACCTTATGAAAATGGATTGTCCTATAGTCTCCACCGGATCTGAAAAGTACAATATGGCTCCATCCTCTAGCCTGCAGTCCATCTTCAAGTATCTAAAGAATGCACTGAAAACTAGTAATAAAGACAATTTCAGTCGATCACCTATTGCAACAAGGAGCAAAAATGCCATGAAAAAAAATTAAGAATATATGTTTTTCATAGTTTCTTCTGTCAGAAAAAAAATGGTATTTGATGCAAATGCCTAGGCACACTCTTAAGATAAACTATTTTATTTAATATATTATTTCTTTTCTTCCCCCTTGGCTGAAGCAGATATTATGTTATGTAAGGTGCAATTTTGAATTCCATGGTCAGGCTTTATTTTAGTTGTTGAAAGGATACTTTGTACAAATTTGTAATTTAGTGACAATTTTTTCTTTCAATGTCTTACAAATATATTCTTTGACAAAGCTTTTTAAAAACTGTCATTTAATCTTAACCATCAGCAAAACAATGAAAATGTAAATAGGATAAACATATCAGAAATAGGTTTAAAATCTTGTTTGAAATATTAGTCAATTACTTGTACTTCAAATTAGCATAATTCTGAATGTTTTAAACTTCAGAGTACATGTATAGTATACATTCAAATCAGCATAGAAATATTGAACATTTCACAAAAATTACTGTATAAAATTATATTTATTTGACAGTCACATCAAATTAGATTGATCTTATTTACTGTTAATATTAAGACTATTTTTTTAAGGTTACTTTTAAAAATCTCTTTTCTCTAGATTATTATCTACATTTTCATTTCCATTTTACTTGAAAACTGTTCTTTTGGTTCAGGTTGGATTTAAATTACAATTTCAGTCATGAACCAACATTAAAATAAAGTAACAGATTAAAATATACATAAATATTATATAAAAGTTTCAACTTTCTAAAAAGAATGAAAACTCAATTGAAAAGATGGGCCCTTAAGGCGTTTTTGCAGGATTGTAAAAAATGTAGACTGAATATCTTCAGAATATACATTCTACAACCTAGAGATGACAGAATAGACTGAATCCCAAATCATCACCAGATGACTGATATATTGAAAAATGGATTGTCTGGAAATCTTAGAAGTGAGAATCATGCATATACTCAGACAACTTGAATCTAGATGATTTAGGGTTACTGGTAATAATCAGCACGTTATATGTCCTCTAGGAACTGGCAGACAGTGCAGCCAATTCCCAGAGGAACAGACAAAATGCTACCCTACAAATAGTCCTTGAACAATCTTTTGCTGCATTTTGAACATGTAGAAGTTTCTAACCTGGTTACTATAAAGCAATCCAATATTACCTGAGAAAACAGGATGTGATCAGGATGTAGGAGGGTTCTCAAACTGTACTACTTTTTTCTGAAGTATAGCCCTGTCCTCTAGAATCTAGATCACGGGTGTCAAACTTGCTGCATCACATTGCCGTCGTGATGTTTCGTGATGGTTTTCCCATTCACGGAGCTGGGGCTGGTGTGGCCTGCATGTGATGGATCCAGCCCGCAGGCCGCCAGTTTGACATCCCTGATCTAGATCATGATCCTTCAAAATAAACACCGCCACTTTGTCTGATCTTAATTTCATTTTATTATCCTGCATCAAGCTTACAGTATTATCCCCTGTGGACATACATTTCAAAAAATATTGCCCCTTCTTGTGACTGAAATAGAGAAAAAGATTTGGGTATCACCAACCCGTCTTTAATGCCTAGCACCAAACTTTAGACTAACATAGTCTATTAGTTTTACTAATATCTAGATAATCTTTCTTGAAGCTGGTTAGCCACAACCTCATTATACCTTTTCCCAAATACAGGAGGCTAACCTACAATTTAAGAGAGACATAGTAGATTTATTAAGGTCTAAACAAAGCATTCTGTCCTTTCTCAATGGAGTATTATGTTAGCTAGGCCACAGTGAACACATTGGGCAAGAATCCAAATAGGCAATAAACTACCATTCCAAGTAGCTTTCCCATATCCCCCAAAATCACAAATTTATCCAATATTAATATTACAAATTACTGACAACACATTATTGTAACTGACTCTAGAATTTGAGTTTTCTCAGCTGCAAAGGCTTTTTGCAAAGATCCATTAAAAATACCACAGTAAGTCATAGCTTCTTAGAGCAAATTTGAAACGGCTTTAACTATCTGGGAAATTTTATTGGATAAAATGCATATTTGTTGTACATACAGTTGCAGCATAGTACCAGATTGTCATGCCTTAGTAGTTTATGATGAATCTACTGTGTTCTAGTTATCTACCTTGTTTGTATATTATAAGCTAATTTTGAAGAGGCTGTTTAGGAGTGATCCTGTCTCTCACTCTGAAGAATTCCCTATTCCAAGAGTGATTGACAAAATCACCTTCATAAGCAACTTAAACACAAAAACTATAAAACCACCACCCTTGTGCTTTGAGCGAAAGACCAGACAAGCATGTGACACAAAACAATGTGACTCAGCACTGGAATAAATAGGATAGTACTATATTTGTTTTGGTAGCTATGAATTCCTGGAATGCACCAAATAGCACCAGAAATGTATTGTGGGATTTGGCACCAAGATTTGAATCTATGTGAAATCTCTTGGAGAGATAAATTGTTGCTTCAGGATAAAGTTTCACCAATATGATGATATCCAGTTATACAGCTTCACCACAGACTCAATGGGAGATGCTGTAAATTTCCCATGTTGGTGCCTGAAGGCTGTCAAGGGAAAACACACTCAAACTTCATTCTGTATTACAGAATGGTTGTTAAATCATAAGCCTTCTGATTCCAGGACTGTATCATCATTGACTCTTTACTGGGCTGCGCTCCCTATGATGCAAATTTGCAACCTGGGATCTTTCTGAACAATCGGCTTCTACACACAGCATGATCAGGAGGGCCTTTGTCTGATAAACCAGTTGCAATGTTACCTGGAATATAATACTCTGAGGAGGATCACTTACACCTTTGTCATCTGCTGATTAGATTAACATGGGGTTACCCTTGAACACTACCCAGAAGTTTCAGGTGGTCCAAAATGCAGCTACCCAATTTGGTCTAGTGGTTATGGCACCAGTTTAGAAAGCGGAAATCATGAGTTCAAGTACCACCTTAGCCATGAAAGCCAGTTAGGACTCTTTGTGTCAATCACTCTCTCAGTCCTACTCACTTCACAGAGTTGCTGTGGGGAAAATAGGAGGTGGTGTGTTGGACATGTTTGCAGCCAAGGCAGGATACAAATAAACAAACCTATGTGCTCAATGGTTTTGATACTGCAGAATTGCACTGGTTGGAGTCCATTTCCCAGTGAGCTGGTCACCAGCTTTAAAGCCCTGAATATTTAAGACACTTGTGTTTCCCAAATATACTCTGTCTTATCTAGATGATCAGAGTCTACAAAGGATCCTGACTTATCAGTCATTATGGCAGAAGGGTGGCCTAATATGAGGTATTCTCAACCACAGTTCTCCTCTTATGGAATAGTTTGTCCACTGAGCTGAATATGTCACTCATTGTGGCGAGGTAGGTGGTTCCTGGGGTGGTTCCGCCCCAGGCACCTGATGGACCCGGATAGGTTCCAGACGGAGCTTGGGCCATTTCCTGAGGCTCTGGCACAGGGCTCGACTGAAGACCTAGTGGCTGCCTGGGATAGGGTGGCCGCTGGAGCTTTGGACCGGGTGGTGCCTTTGCGGCCTCTAACCAGGTGTCGATTTCACCTGGCTCCCTGGTTCACTGAGGAGCTGAGGCAGATGAAACGCCGGAAAAGACGCCTGGAGAGCAGTTGGAGGGCCAGCCGTTCTGAATCTGACCGAACACTGGTAAGGTCTCATATTAAGACCTACCTGGTGGCAATAAAAGCGGCAAAGTGTAACTATTTTTCCGCTCTTATTGCGTCATCAGATAATTGCCCGGCCGCCCTGTTTAGGGTGACCCGCTCCCTGCTCCACCAGGAAGCGCGGGAGGACCCCTTGGAGGGTAGAGCCGAGGATTGTACAATATCTGTATGACAAAATCGCTCAGATTCGGGAAAATTTGGACTCTGACTGGGTAGATTTGGGAGGGAGGATGGAGGCAAGTCTTGAGAATATTACCTGGGAAGAGTTTGATTCTGTGACTCCAGAAAACATGGACAAGATACTGGGAAGACTGAGCGCGGCCACATGTTTATTGGACCCGTGTCCCTCCTGGCTGGTGCTGGCCTCTCGGGAGGTTACACGAGGCTGGCTCCAGGGGATTATAAATGCTTCCTTGAGAGAGGGTGCCTTCCCCGCCGCCTTGAAAGAGGCGGTGATGAAGCCTCTCCTCAAGAAGCCTTCCCTGGACCCAGCAGTGTTGGCTAATTACCGTCCAGTCTCCAACCTTCGCTTCATTGCGAAGGTTGTTGAGAGTGTGGTAGTGCGACAGCTTCCTCAGTACTTGGATGAATCGGCTTATCTAGATCCGTTCCAGTCGGGCTTCAGGCCTGGATACAGCACGGAAACGGCATTGGTCGCATTGGTAGATGATCTCTGGAGGGCCCGGGACAGGGGTTGCTTCTCTGTCCTGGTCCTATTAGACCTCTCAGCAGCTTTTGATACCATCGACCATGGTATCATGCTGCACCAGTTGGAAGAGTTAGGGCTGGGGGGCACCGTGTTGCGGTGGTTCTCCTCCTTTCTCTCTGATCGGTCGCAGTCTGTGTTGACGGGGGCAGAGGTCGACCCCGAGGCCCCTTGTATGTGGGGTGCCACAGGGGTCAGTTCTCTCACCCCTTCTGTTCAACATTTATGTAAAGCCGCTGGGTGAGATCATCCGTGGTTTTGGGGTGAAGTATCATCAGTATCCTGATGATACTCAGCTATACATCTCCACCCTGGACCACCCCAATGATGCCCTTAAAGTGATGTCCCGGTGCCTGGAGGCTGTACGGATCTGGATGGGGAGGAACAGACTCAGGCTCAACCCATCCAAGACCGAGTGGCTGTGGTTTCCGACGTCCCGATATAGTCAGTTGGTGCCATCACTGACTATTGGGGATGAGTCATTGCCCCCTACGGAGAGGGTTCGCAACTTAGGCGTCCTCTTGGACTCACGGCTGTCTTTAGAAGAACACTTGACGGCTGTGGCCGGGAGGTCTTTTTATCAGGTTCGCCTGATTCGCCAGTTGCGTCCCTTTCTGGATCGGGACCCGTTAAATACGGTCACTCATGACCTCGTCACTTCACACCGGGACTACTGTAATGCTCTCTACATGGGGCTCCCCTTGAGGAGCACCCGGAGGCTTCAGCTGGTCCAGAATGCGGCCGCGCGGGTAGTTATGGGAGCAGCATGGCGCTCCCATGTGGCTCCCCTCCTGCGCGAGCTGCACTGGCTCCCTGTGGTCTTCCGGGTGCGCTTCAAGGTCTTAGTTACTACCTTTAGAGCGCTCCATGGCTTAGGACCGGGGTACTTACGAGACCGCCTTCTGCCACCAATAGCCTCTCACCGCCCAGTACACTCCCATAGAGAGGGGCTTCTCAGGGTGCCGTCAGCCAAACAGTGTCGACTGGCGGCCCCCAGGGGGAGAGCCTTTTCTGTGAGGGCACCCTCCATCTGGAACAAGCTCCCCCCCAGAGATACAGAAGATTCCGGATCTGCGCACTTTCCGCCGTGCCCTCAAAACATTCCTGTTTCAGCAGGCCGGCCTGGCCTAACTTTCCCTTTATATTGCTTTTGATTTTATTTTAAACTGGGATGTCTTGAATTATCTAGGACCAGAGTGTTTAGTATATTTTAATTGTTTTTTTTAACATTTGTATTACATGTATTTTTATTGTTCGCTGTTCACCGCCCTGAGTCCCTCAGGAATAGGGCGGTATATAAATTTAATAAATAAATAAATAAATAAATTGTGGCAACCTTGGAAGCTAGTAAGGGCATGGCTTTTCAGGTAGCTTTTGGGGATTGATTTTATACAGATCTATGCATTTTTCTTATTGATGGTTTAAAATGGAATTGCACAAATAGATAAGCTAGCGTCTCCCTAATCAGTCATACTATTTTATGAAATCTATTACTGAGGGATCATACATAAATAAAATTCTCACCCTATCCTGGAGTTATAAAGAAAAGGAAAGAAGAATAAAGATCTGTTCTCTCCAGGAATCCTGGTAAAAATGTTTGTTTTTTAGGAAACATAGCTATAATCTGCTCTCCCAACATTCCAGAATCCACTTCACAATAGAAAGAAGATAGAGTTCACCTTTGTCCTAGCCAGGTCTCAATTTTATCCACCATAATCAAATCATAAATAATATTATTTTTGCTCTGAAATGACTTGCACCTATAGAGAAGAAATATTAAATTATCCAGTTAAAATTTTTCTCTATCTTGCAATCAGTTCTATTCCTCACAGCTAGAATCATTGCTCCTAATACGGAACAACTCTGCTATTCCTTCCTCAACCATCCTATAATCAGCCTGGTTGAAACCATGAAAACAGACATTAAATAGCTCCCCCAAAGAACTCAGGTAGTAAGTTTGGGGGTGGACAGGAGGCAGACTATCTACTGGTAGCTGCATCCATAGCATAATTCCATCTTTAAAAGTCAAAAGATTTTAGCATCACATCTCTCACATGGGCTCCAAATTCTAGCTGATAAAAATAGTTTTAGAGCTAAAACTTATCAGGACAGGCAGGACAAAGGCAAAAATATTTACAGCAATTACAGTACATACATTATTTTATTAAATAAGATAATTAAATACAACTATCTCTAGGTCAAAAAGAAAAGGGAAAAACGTGTGATTTCTACGACTGGGTTCTCACATGCTAAATTGTGATTTAATTGTAACTTATTTAATGTTAATCTATAAAATGATTTATCTGGTTTTGTCTTTCTATCTTGTGTGGAAAACATGTCTATTTCTGTTTATAGTTCAAGGCATTTACTTGTTTGATTTAGAGCAGGTTCCTTTATTTAACAAATTGTTAAGATATAGGATATAAGCTAATAACAATAGAAAGTCAGCAACTTGTTGACATACATAACTTTAAGGAAAATAATGACAGAAAATCTGTCTGTTTTGATGTTGACCAATATGATCATGCAAAGATTAAGATTACTTCTTTTTGCTGGGTTAGATGGGACACATGTTCAAATAAGCCATGGCATAATCAATCTTAAGATGTGCCCATTCCAATTTCCACTTGTTTCCAGAAACGGCATTTAAATGTCTTTATAGAGAAGTTCATACTTTGGAATATTCTTTGGATCAATTGGGCTTCGTACAATGAGTTTTCCACGCATCGCTCCACGATAGATTACTTCAATCAAATCTATGAAGTCTTGTTTTGTTTTGAAACTTCCTACAAATTTGGTATGATCTGGAGATCTGTTTAGGGGAAAAAAATAATATAAAGCCAATTTTAAACAACAATGTTAAAGTTGAAATTCAAAAATACAAGTAGTTCAAAATCTGAATCTACCAAGCTCCTCACTTTTACAAATATATTTGTTAGCATTTTATATAACTGTGCAAGATCAAATTAAAACTTCATCCAGTCTAGTGTATTTCTCAAGAATCTTCATAAATGGGTAATGAAACTTATAGCTTCAGGACCTATGACCAGGAGTTTCAATTTAGACATGGCTAGCAATCAATGACAGAGCAATACCTATTTCTGATATAAAGCTAATTTACAAGATGTGTTTCACAATATAAAATTAACCACAACTGTGGTTTATGATACAACTATTTACATACAGATTCATTATGCCCGGTAATATGTTTTATCATTTGTAACAGGACTTCATTTTCAAAAATCCAACTTGGGAATCTAAAATCCATAGTCTTCAGCATTCATTCCTTAACCTTTTTGTGGATTGATACCATTCATCAATATAATAAACAATCGGTTAGTGTTTGAATTAATGCACTGTCTTATGCCATAGTTTGCTGAATACAACTGCACGCAGACGTTTAGGCTCCTCGGTTGAACTGTATGTTTCTAACTAAACAGAAGCTGTCACAATCACTATATGATACAGGTTAAAAATATTAAATATTTGGCAACTCTTAATGAACTTCATTTAGCCATTTCACCAACTTCCCATCCCCATAAGCCTTGTGGTATAAATCATGCCAACCCATCTCTGTAACATTCAACTCACTTCTTATATATTCTGCATACAAATCCTACCTATCCAAATTAATAGGCAAAAAGTGTGACAGAAAATACTTCCTGAATTCTTGTTTGATTTTGCCTTGGCATATTCTGTGACCTAATTAAATCACAGTGATTCAAGCCAAAATCAACCTATATAATGGCTCTGCATAATAAACAGACTAAGTCACAGAATAATAAAATTAATACCAACAAACATGATCACACTTCGGCTACATGCAAACCAACTTACCCATAATCCACTTTTATATGTTGCCCATTGAAAAAGAAGACAGTTGATGGAATATAACTAATATCAAAATACTGGGTGTACACTGGAACCTTGCTCACGTTCACTAAATAAATTGCAGCCATTTTACTCAAATCATGAGATGTTTTTGCAAGCTGTCAAGAAACCAAAGTTATGTGATACACTGGATGCATGAAGAAAGGAGTCAAAGCTTTTAAATACATAAAAAATGGATTATAATTACATGTACTTTTCGAAATACACTAGCAATAATTGTAGCTTGGATAGCAAGGGTAACAAGTATACTTACTAAACAATCCATCCATTTAAATTATTAAGAGAAGCCTTGCTGCAGATTATGCTAGCATCAGATGTGTGTCTCATAAATATAGATGGCAGTTTCGTTCACTATGAAATATGGCAGCTCAATCTATCTGACCTCCTTTGGCACCAAATGAAAATATTTTAGGATCGGGGTGTTTAGTGCTCTCCGAGCTTGGTTGTTTTCTTGCAGACGTTTCATTACCCTAAGTAGGTAACATCATCAGCGCTAATCTAGTTTTTGCAAAATTCTGCAAGAAAACAACTGAGCTACAAATAATCTTCATTTTAGGGTCAGGAGACGTTTTGCGATGTACGCCGCTTAGATTAGATTTTTATTTAAATAAATAAAAAGCAAATGCCGGCTTACAATGTTATCCAGTTGCAGGCAGACACGATCTTCATCTCTACCAAAGCGAAGAACCAGGACTTTCTCCGCCACGGTCTTAATCGCTTCATCCACCTCCTTTTTGCTGTTTAACTGAGGCAGCAAAAAACTCATACCAGCTGACGAGACAAGAGGTTAGTAGTGCCTCGAGATAGCAAACACGCACGCGCGTAAATTTGTTTTTGCTGGGGAGGGGGGAAGGAAACTGTCAACGAGGCCCAGTGAATGACAAAGACTTTCTCCAATCAATGGCAACTACCGCTACAGAACTTGTTTTCGCTGACGGAACCATCAGTCAGAGTCTTAGTTCTAGGCCTTTCCGGCGGGATATATTTAGGGACGGACCCATTCCGGAGCCGGGTAGGCATGCTTGGATGTGCGTATTGGTAAGTATGCGAGATATTAGAAAGTAAGATTGTTTAGTAAGACCTCATGAATTCAGTCCATTTCATCACCTAAATAAATGGACTCTCAACTATAATACATTTGGTTTTCCAAAATTAATATTGTTGCTCCCTCATTGAAATTCTTCAGTAGATGGTACTCATTTTAAACATGGGAAGGAGGCGATGGCTGTTTTAATGTTGCCGCGTTTGTCAAAAGAAATAGAAAAAAAAGAATGAACGAAGAAACGCATTGTATTATTTCTGACGCTAATTAGGCATACTTACAGTGAAACTTAGGTTTATCTATCTGAATTCCACTGAATTCAATGTGATTTCTTCTTATGCCACAGCTAGCCAACTTTAGCTGATCTCGGAAAACCACAGCAGTGAAGCTTTAGTATTTAGATTAGAAACCACCTGAAATATCCGCGTGGTAGATTAGACTAAGATAATAGTGAAAACACAGAAGAAAGAGGTAGCAAACTGATGATATTGCCAAGAGAATTATGTGCTGGTGTAGTCACCAATAGTTGTGCTCAGACCAGATGAGTCTATATCAAGTGGACAGTATCTCACTGAAAATAATGTGGTTTACTGTAATAGACCTGCTGGGAAGTAGCCATTTCTCAGTAATAAATAATATGTGGATTTCATGTTTGTATAGAGGATATATTACAATTCTAATATTAAAATCAGATTTTTGTATACATAGCTAAAAAAATATTAAATCTTTTTGGGCTTGCTTCATAGTAAGGAGAAAATAAGCTCATTGTCTGTTTTTCATTATGTTTTCTCATTGGTTTCATTAGCTTCCATATTTTGGGAAGGGAACTTTCTGGCATAAGCCTTTTTCTGTATGTGACCTCATCTTTTGTAATAATACTTTTATTAAATATTACAATTAAAAATACAAACTAAAAAAAGAGAAAATAAATAAAAACTGCAAAAAGAAAGAAAAAAATAGAAAATATTGCCTATTGCCTATTGAAATCCTGTCAGGATTTCAGACAGAAATAACATTTTTGCTCTTTTGAATGATCTCTGACAAGGATGAGATGACAATTGTGGTTCCATCCTTGCTCTGCTTGACTTCTCTTTTGATACCATTGACCAAGGTATCCTAGATTGACTCAGAGAATTTGGGAAGGGCTGCATGATGTTGTGCTAAATTGGCTTGATTATAAAGTATTATAAAATACAAAAGCAAATAAAAGGATGGTGAAGGAGAAGGGAAAAGAAAAGTGAGGAAGGGTAGAGAAAGAAACAGAAACATTGACTTCCGACTCCATCTGTTGCAGTAAAATAAGACATTAACAAATTACAACTTTTTGTTTTACCATAATAGTATATCTATTAATCAATCTGTGAAACCCCAAACCAAAGTTTCATTCTTTTACACATCACGAAGTTCAGAAGCGGTTTCCATATGGAAACAAAAGTATTTATGTTTTAATTTGACTGCTTTATCCAGGATTGATTCCAGTTGGTGGTGATTGGGAAAGAGATTCCACTACTGGCCCCTACAGCTTATCTATTGCCATACGATGAGATATCATCCTTATGCTGATGATACCCAATTATATATATCTGCCCTTAGCAAAATAAATATCTAGAACACAGGTATCAAACTCACTGCATCACGTTGCCATCACATGATGTTTTGCCACATTTTCTCCATTTACAGAGCTGGGGTAGGCGTGGCCTACGCATGATGCATCTGGCTCGCAGGCCACCAGTTTGACATTCCTGGCCTAGAAAATGTGAGAATCTAAATGAGATGTTAATGCTTTAACCGAAATCAAGCAGAAACTAGTTTTAAGTTTCTAAAAGCTGTTTTTCTTCTCTAGAACTTCAGAGGTGTGTTACTAGACAAACATATCAAGTGACCAAATATTTAAAAGATAAAAGGTAATATAATTTTATAAAATACATTTTACCATACCTGTATCTCTGTGTTTTATAGTATATAAGTACCTTCCATTCGTTCTTCATTCATTTTACTTTTTCATTACTTTTTCATTTCTCCTGACATTCCCAGCTTGTACTGCCCTACAGCAAAGTTGTCTGAAGCATATATTTACATAGTTTATTTCAATATTCATTTCTTGCAACAAGCACTATATATTAAACAACTCATGCAGCCACCCCATAAGAAAACTCCATATACATCTTAAGATGTTATTCACATCAAAATCAGTTTTCATAGTTTTGCAGATATCATTCTTATATTTCCTTTTTTGTTGGCAGCTTCTTTTACTTTCATCATTCTACTAAGCATCTTTTTAATACTACTTTTTAATGTAACTCCATATGCTTGTGTCTTACTCTTTAACATAGTTTTTTTGGCTTTGTTTCTAGCAGCTTCCATATAATTTTCCTTACATGCACTTTTTATTCATTCTATTGTGAGATCACTCTTTTTTTCGCGTAATAGTCCTATCATAAAATAGTCATTCTCTTTTACTTTCTACTTTCAGTCTACCTTTCATTTTTTCCTTTGTCTTCCACACCCATATCCACATTCCATATTCATTTTTACTTAACTTTTTGGCAGAGTTAAAATGATATGTTTCACATTTAGAATATCTCCTTAACCTTGTGTATTTTATGACCCTCACTGCATCATATACAATTAAATCAATTGTGAATTTTATTTTTCCCTTTTCTACTTTAACTGTGCTTTTAAACTTCTTATACTATTTCTTATTCTCTTTTGCATTGTTCATGTCTGTCTTTTTCTTTAAATAAATAGATAACCAGGAATTCCAGTATTCCATGACTCCCAAGTCCCTTGGCTACATTTCCTAGAGCAATTTCTGAACCAAGCACATTGGTAGCTTTTTTTTTTTGCCATTTCGAGAGGAGAAATGCAAAAAATGGGCCCTGAGCTTTAACATACTCTTAATTTACATACATATATAATATATATTATTTTAAAACTATGCCATGAGCTTTAAATACTCTTAATATACATGTACTTTTTAAAAACCAGACTTGATAGTTCTGTCTACTTTGCATCACTGCCTTGGTCAGTAGGAACTGAGCTTCTCCAAAATATGATTGAAATCACAAAAAGGCTACTTTTTCAGTTTAAAATGTCTTGTATCTCCTTTGCTCTGATCTTAATACTTTTATTTTCAGCCCTTATATGTCATTGGCACTGCATTATTTGGCAATCTATTCAGAATCATAAGAATTGGGTAGAATAAAAATGCAATTAAGAAAATCAGTTTGTATTACTGATGTTTATAATAATGATGATGAACAATTTCAGGTTTGTTTTTCTAAAATATCTTCTCTTTTCTATATATATGTGACTCTAGGTATCTATTGGACATCACAATTCTCAATTCTGATCTTTTTCAACATGCATTTATTGAATTTAATTAGAAGATCTGCCTTCAAATTGATTGCACCGAAAATGACAAAATATGGATTATTTTTAACAATGCCCAGCAAAATCAATACTTGTGGAACGTTGAGGATGATTTATTTGAACAAAAGTATTTCAAAAAATGCTGATGAGAACATAGATCTAGATGAATGGAAATTGGTTGTGCTTTCCGGCTTGCAAAAAGAAGCATTTGAAAAAGCATCACCTGAGGAAGAGCCTAATATAGCAGCTATTAAAGAATACATTGATATGTCTAGGCGTTTAGGTAAAGCTGCTCCAGAAAATATTACTGAAGAACAATTAGAGAGGTTGATTGAATATCCTTCTGTTACTTCAAGAAATAAATATTTGGCCTTTTTGGCTTCAAAAGAAATGAGAAAGAATGCCGAAAAAGAAAAAAAGAAAAAACAACGGGAAGAAAGGGAGGAACTTAAAAAAACAATGGAAAATGAAGAGCTAGTACCAAAAAGTAGATTGTTTCGGGCCATTTGGGAGTCCTCAATGGATGTTATGTACAATTGGAAAGCTGCTCAGGCTATGAGTTTTGGCCAGCCTCTGGTATTTGACATGGATTACAATGATATGTCAGAGAGAGAGATGCAGAATACAGTGAAACAGATGATGGAATGTGAAGGAGCCAATCGTAAAGCTGTAGAACCATTCCATTTATATTACTGTAATTTTAAAGAAGATGGTCCATACCACAAAGAATTCCTCAAGCGTTATGGAGATGCATGGGACAATTTGTTTGTGACAGTGACAGAAAAGTCTTATGTTGAATTATTTCCAAGGGATCAGATTGTCTACTTAACTGCTGATTCTCCCAATGTAATGGAAACATTTGACCATAATAAAACCTATATAATTGGATCTCTAGTTGATAAGACAATAAGGAAGGGAGTCTCTCTTGCTCGTGCAAAGCGCTTGAAGTTGGCAACAGCACAACTTCCTTTAGAAAGATACTTTCATTGGAAAACTGGAGCCAAAGTTCTTACTCTGGATCAAATGATAATGATCTTAATAGCGCTGAAAAATACTGGAAATTGGAAGGAAGCTCTAGAGTTTGTTCCAAAAAGAAAGCATGAAGGTTTTGTAGATCCATCTTTGCAACAATTTATTAATAGACAAAAGAATAAAAGAGCCTCTGAGCAAAACTTTAAAAAAAAGCTATTGGTAGATGAGCTCTCCAAGAAACGTTTGTGGAATGGATTGTGGGAAGAGTAGTGTGTAAGTCACCCAGTTATGACTGCCATAAATTTCATGTAAAATAACATTTGTCTCAGAAAGCTTTCAACTTCTACAGACTAAAGAACCCAATAATGATAAAACATGTAGTTTTACCACAGGAGACTCTAAATATATAGGAAGCATCACTTCTGACTGTTGAGAAAACCTCTGTAATACACAATGGGGCTGAAAAACATGTTCTGTCAGGTTAAAGACAATAACAGTAATTGTTAACGTGTGTCTGTCAC